GTGTTACATATCTTTGGTTCTTTGCTACCGAGATGAGATTGTTATACTAAATTCTTTTGCTCCTATTTAAAATCTGTGGACCATTTTTGCAGGCTATCTTCATCTTGGGCTATTAATATTGCGTCGTCTGCGTAACAAAGTAGTTTGGTTATTAAATTTCCCATTCTGTATCCTCTTCCTTTGTTAACGCTTTTGATTTTTTATTTTATTTCATCCATGATCCAATTAAAGAGCATGGGGCTGAATGAATCCTCTTGTCTTATTCTTATTTCTATAGGTTCTCTAAGTTGTACATATATTCTGACTTCCATTTTGTTATTTTGGTAGATGTTTTCGACTGTTTTTATAATATTTAGGGGAGCTTCTCTATTATACAGAAGATGGATTACATCTTTGAGTTTTACTCTGTCAAATCCTTTCTTTCGGTCAAACAGACACAGAGATGCTGGTCTATTATACTTTAGTGATTTCCCAGTAATTTGCTTTATAAAGAATATAGCATCTGTACACGATCTTTCAATACGAAAACTCCGTTGTTCATGTACTAAACTTATCTTCTTATTTATTAGCACTTGTAAAATTTTAGTGTCAGCTTTAGCGCTAAGACTAAAGCACTAGTGTAGTATTTAACAAGTTTATATGTTTTCTGGCTGTTTTTTATTTCATTTTTTAAATAGTAGAATTAGTGTGCTCGTTCTCCATTCTTCCGGTATTTTATTGTGTTTTATAATTTTATAAATTAATGTTGTTAATTTTTCTGCCATTTTTGCTCCACAATATTTCAGTTAGTCGTTTGGTATTCCGTCTTTATCTGCTGCTTTTCCGTTGTTCAGGTTTAAAAAAGGGACATTAGAATTATCTCTAAGATTTACTATAACCAGAAAGCAAATATCCGAATAGAGCAAGAGACAACGGAGGAAATCGAGATCAAGAAAGGCGTAAGACAGGGTTGTATACTCTCACCGACCTTATTCAATCTATACTCCGAAGACATTATAAACATAGCACTTTCGGATCAAAATATAGGTATTAAGATAAATGGCATCCGAATAAACAACTTGAGATATGCCGATGACACGGTACTAATCGCAGAAACTTGGGAAGATCTTCAAATACTAATTAACAAAATAGTAGAATGCAGTGAAGAACACGGATTATCACTTAACATAAGCAAAACAAAAATAATGCTAATATCTAAATCACCACAAAACTTCCCTGACATAACCGTGCATGATCAAAGAATCGAACGTGTAAGAAGATATAATTACCTGGGAACTGTTATCAACGAAAATAATGACTGCTCTGAAGAAATCAGAACCAGAATAGAGAAAGCTAGAGCCACATTTACTAAATTGAAAAAGGTGTTCTGCGGAAGAGATCTAAGTCTAAAACTTAAAATTCGCCTTTTGAGATGTTACGTTATGTCAGTTCTCCTCTACGGGATGGAAACATGGACATTGAAAAAGATCGATACCAAAAAGATAGAAGCATTTGATTTGTGGATGTATCGTAGAATATTAAAAATACCCTGGACAGAGAAAGTAACAAATGTGGAGGTTTTGCGGAGAGTGCGGAAAGAGAAAGAGCTGATACTTACTGTTAAAAAGCGCAAACTACAATATTTGGGACATGTTATGAGGGGAGATAAATACCAGTTGCTGCAATTGATTATACAGGGAAAGCTAATGGGAAAGAGATCTATAGGAAGAAGAAGGCATTCATGGTTGAAAAACTTGAGAGAATAGTACAATTGCACCAATTACCAACTGTTTAGATCTGCAGCATCAAAAATACGCATAGCTTTGATGATAGCCAAACTTCGGAACGAAGACGGCACTTGAAGAAGAAGAAAAATCATGTTCAATTTCTTTCAAAAAGCGTTCCCAGTGATCATTTTTTATTTTTCTTACAAGTGCATATGTTTCTATTGTCTTGAAGTATTGAAATGTTATTGAGATGAACATGTAGTAACAAGAAAAGTTAAAAGACTTATTTTTTCATTATGATGATGTGAAAATATAAAATAAATTAGTACTTAAAATTATTTTACGTGTGTGGTCACCTTTATCTAATAAAAACGAACGCGTTTGATTTCTGTCCACTAATATTTATTAGAATACCTAACATAAGTGTTATTATGCAAGTTTAAAACTTAATCTCTATATTAATAGGTAATTACGAGTTTCTTAATTTCTTATTTTACACATTTCCAAAATTTATGGCCTGTCTATCTCTCATGATTTTATTAGCAGTAAAGCAATGAATTAAATTTGAAAATATTTCTGAATGTTTTGAGAGTCATTATGATATAGATACATATTCCTTGATGGGATGGTAATAGGTCCTAGTTTTCGGGATACAAAGCTGGTGTAGGAAATCTACCAGTGCAAGGAATAATAGATATGTTTAGCAAAAATTTATCAAATACAAGAGAGAAAAGCTAAGAAAATTCGCACCCGGAACTGACTAAATGGACATATATATTAAGATGTTGTTACTTACTAATAATAGCATTAATAAAGAATACGATAATATCAAAACGAAAAGGTTAGATTAAGGTCAATTTGAGTGAGTGCTTAAACACCCTTCTACTCGACCCTATAGGTTTATTATGATTTGAAGGTTAAATGATAAAATCATGGTAAATAGTAATAGTGATAGTGATGTCTCTAATAAAGACAAAAATGGTACAGTTTTAAAATTTTTTAATAGTTAGCCTTGTCAATAATAAAATCATTAATATCGTAGGTAGACCACGATAAGAAAGCTATTCTTCACCTCTTAGGTCACTCCCGGAGTGCCAAATCCTGTTTTTTATAGTATAAAAATTCTGGTATCAGTGATCAGTTGATAATGACGTATTTTCTTGGAGATACACTACGGGCAATGACAGAAAATCTAGAAAGTTAATTAGGAAGGTATGAAAAGAAAGCCATCTTTGGTGTTGGCGATACCAAGTGTGTTAGAAAAAAGAATGGGACTAAAAATAGCCCTTAAACAATTTATTGTTACTAGAACAACTATACAGACATCTGTACATGTATGTCAAGAATCATACGCTAAACCCTCTGAAGTACTTTATTCAAAATTGAAAAGAAAACAGTATTGGAAAAGAACTTGCAGTTAAATGCTTGAAGGTCATTGGAATTTGGCCTTGTAATAAGTGTACTTGTATTCTTTTAGTAGTAGATTTCATTGCAGAAAAATATAAAGCAGCAGCTGTTCTGCTTTATTAGACAACTACAGTGAACCCAAGGATGCACCATCAAAACCGACAATAAGGTCTTTTAAAACACATGGACTCTCAACCGAAAAGTAGCAAAGAAAAATTTCTTTTTTATTATTTAAGCAAGTCTGTAGCCAAGACTGTTGTATTAGCAAAATCGACAACAGATATTGTATCATCAAAAATCGACAACAGAGATGAAATCGTAACCGGGATGAAGAAAAACATTGATTCTCTTAGCTGGTTAAGAAAATATGTAGCAAAAACTAATAAGTTTGTCTCTCCATTTCACATGTTACCTTCACCAGCTAATAAAAAAACTGCCTCCCGAAGCAGAAATCCTGCTTAGTCAAAAAGTATAACCTTTTTGCCGTATAAACAGCAGTTCGAGATCTCATGGGAAAGAGCAGCTGCAAAAGCTGTAGAAAAAGGAACAGAAAAAAGCAAAAGTCGTTTCTGCTTCTGAATTAGCAAACAAAAAGTCAGGAAAAAACAGAAAAAACCTGAAAGCGATTCAAAAGAAGAAAAGATTTTGTACCAGCTGACAATAACGATGATTTAGAAGAGATAAGTAATATTTCAAAAAAGAATGACGTAGAATGCAAGTATTGTGATGGTCGATTTTCAGAAGACAAATGATTAGAGCTGTGGATTTTTTGTCTCATTGTATATTGTATATGTAATATTTATGTTGCACTTTGTTGGGTAATAGGAGGGGGCCCATATTTAGAGCAGTGTAGTGGGGCTACTTAAAAGCACAAGAAATTATATTTTTTTAAATAGGAGTTTTACTTAAATAAAAAAAAAATTGCTCTACGTAATGCAATAAGGTTTGTATAAGGTCTGTACAAAAATATAAGCAAATTGGTAAAAAATTGAAAGTGTTATCCTATAACACAAAAGTGAGGACCCATATTCGAACCATTCCCTCTATTAATATTAAATATATTATAACATTACAGAAATAATTCAAAATTTAAGGAAAAAACACTTCAACGCAGACAAGTTCATCAAAAAAATCATGGATGACTGATGAAATTCTGAAGCTGATAGAAGAAAGAAAAAACGCCAAATATCACACGCACAGATATAAAGCAACAAATTAATATAACAATAAGAAGGAAAATAAGAAAGATGAAACAAAAGAAGTAATGGAAATATGCAAAGGAATTAAAATTCTATAGTTAAAATATGATAGTTATATATCGTAGAGAGTAGATAGAGTAGATAGAGTCAATATGTCAATGTCATACATTTTATACGCTGATCTTTAGAGACAATCTTTGGTCTAGGCGAGTAGTGCAGCGTCGTCTGCATGGAGCATTAATAATTGCATCTTCTTTTTTAATTCCCATTCTGTAGCCCTGACCCTGACGTACTGTTTTGCTTATTTCTTCCACTATTATATTAAATAGTAATGGGATCAACGAATTACCTTGTCGGATTTAGCTTTGTACTTGTATAACCTGGGTCAGTTTTTTATTTATATTTGCTTGCATTTGATTATGAGAGTATAGATGTTTGTATAAGAAGTGAGACTTACTGATACTATTGACTTGGATAATATTGTAAGTATGTTTAGGTCAACGAAACATTAATATGCCGATTTATTATATTCGATAAAAAAAACGTAGTAGCCTAAACATATATACATCTATTTTCTAACCTCAACATATTTTAAGAAGAGTTTTTATAAAAACTATTTATATTATTAAACGTATTCACTGATTTATGCATCACCGACTAGATTAAATATTATTGGTTTTAATTTTAGGCCTATCCCAAATACCAATTTAATTATGGTGTCGCTGACGGCCATACAGGAGACCAGAAGAGCCAATCAGAAATTCGTGATGGTGACGTAGTCAAGGGACAATACTCCGTAGTAGAACCAGATGGTATTGTACGTACCGTACAATATACTGCTGATGATCACAATGGTTTCAATGCTGTAGTTACAAGATCTGGACACGCCGCTCATCCAGCTACTCCCGTAGTTGCACAGAAAGTCATTGCTGCTCCAGCGGTCGCTCATGTAGCTGCTCCGGCAATTGGTTTAGGTAAATATATGACACTTTATTTGTATAAATAATATTTGCCTATTAAAAATTTAAGTTAGTAGAAGTTCTATTAAGTAGAATTTAGGTTAGTTCTAATTTAGTAAAATATTAAATATGTTACCTTTAAAACTGCTTAGATCAGAATCTGTTTGCAACCAATTTTTATCATCATCTTATGTTTTTATCTGCAGACGACCTTAGTTAACTTAACAGTTAGATTAATCTACAATAATCTCTTAACTCAATTCCATGAATGTGACATTTCATTATTTCGTTTAAATTATTTCTTTATGATTAGTATGTATAACAGTAGTTGTCCAGTACATGATGTTTTCATTTTTTCTTCTATTCGCACAGACTCTTTATTCAACATCTATGAGATATTCTTATTACATACGCGACCTGCATATTATATCGACCCCTGCATAGAATATCGTTGTAACTAAGATTTTTTGGCAATTTTGAGTTACAGTGTTCTTCTTGGGTAACTTTTTACGCTCTCTGTGCCAACATGGTCGGTGTGGCTGTAACTGCATTAATAAGAAAAATTCCGAATGGAATAATACCGTAAATATAAAAAAATTGAATTATTTGTAGCATAACAGAGTAACTAGAGATACGACGTTGAACCAAATCAAATTTTCGTCGAAAAATACTGTATCGTACCATAGTGTTTCAAAATAATTCTCATATTTCAAAAACTACACCGTAACTGTTGTTACAATTTTATTCGCCGCATTGGCTGCTAGGTTCCGATAATTATGCAGGTAGATACTATACGCTGTGTATAAATATTACGCGACATTATTGTGAGAATACTTTGTAATAAAATTTGCATTTTAAAAACTATCTACTGTTATTATTCCTTAACCTACAACGAGCAATAATTTGAAATTCATATTAACTTTTTCCGATGAGAACATCGTAAGTGCAGTTACAAGATTATTTGATGAAACTTTATATTTATATCAAAAACTGTAACTGTCACAGTTCAAAAACCTATTCTCTAATAAAAAAAAGTAGACCTTATTCTAAAAGAGGAGTTTAACATTTATATAACTACTTACTTCTTACACTGAAAAAATGTCACATACATATAAAAAAAAGAACTCCAAGAAATTGGTATCGTTTTTTATCACTTCTGAGGAATATTATAAATGCTGGTTACAACGTTGTTCTTTGCAGGGGTCGATAGATTATACGAATTTCCTTTTTATAATAATGGTAAACTCATTTGTTTTTTTATTTTGGATTTGATAGTTTTTTATCCAACATGTATTATCACTATATGTATTTTTTACGTTAAATTGCTGTGTCTGTCTATATACTTGTTTTGCTTTGAGTATACGAATCTTATTTATAAGAAGTATGTGCTAATGGTGGCAGTAGATTTACCAGTAATAACTCGACTACTTAATGTATCCAAAAGTAAAACGTAGATTCCATCAAATCAAATAATCCCATCAGACCAATAAAATAGATAAAATATTAACTTTCTAGTACATAATTAATCAAAACATATTATCGACAAAGTGTCTAGCCCGTTAAGATAGTAAAAAATGCCACCAGGGATATTTTAAAAATAACAATACCATATTGTTCTATTATTACAAAAAGTATCCGACCAAAAAAAAATTTAGACCACTAGACCCCAACATAACCTTAAAAAAATAATAAATCGTGTTTTTTGACCATAACTTTGATTCTAATCACGGTAGAAACTTATTCTTTTTTTGATTTATATGATATTTTATGGTCCACATGGTACTTTTGGCGGGAAATTTTAATTTTTGAAAGCTTTTAAAATTTTTAAAATTTGTTTTTAAAGAAGTGTGTAGAACGCCACTTCAAAAAATATATATTATTGGTTGAGTTCAATAAGTTATTTGCATCATTTTTTTTTTAGATTTTTATAAATCATCCTGGTCAAAATAACGAAAATTTATTTTCGTTCATATGAAAAGTAGTTGAGTTGGTGGTCTTAGCATTTATTTTTTGGGAATTCACATTCACTACAAGAAAACTTTACAAACACCAGTTTTTTACTTTAACTTGAACAGTTACCAAACCAGATAACTGATTTTGTTTTCGGCTCAATCAAATTTTCAAAAACATGAAAAAAATAAGATTTTCTCTTTTTCGACCACTGATTGCCTCATGCCATACAACGGCAAATGATTTTACCGTACTTTGACTTCCTCATACAACAAAACTTTCATGGTATGTCCAAAAGACGTTTTTACAGTTTCCCAAAGGTGGCAACAATGTTATCTTCTACGTCTGCAGAAATACGTGTACTATATTTTTTTCAGAGTTTGAGCTTTGATTTTAGTAAAGTTGCTAGACTCATGCAGTATTTATGTTTTTCAATGCACAATGGTATACATTGTACGCTGCTGCAATGTGATAATAGTTTTGTATAAAATCTTGATGCAAAAAAGTAATGTAAATATATGATCATGAATTTTGTATTTTGTTGTGCGATTAGTTACAGGAGCTTTTTTCATCATACCTTCTTCTTTTGCCCCATCTCCGCGACGAAGGTTGGCAATCATCATGGCAATTCTGACCATAGATGCTCATATCTGGATTGGAATAAATCTGTGTTTTTGGCGTGTTGAACTTAAAAGACTTATACACAAAAGAATAATCTTTTATTTCTAAAGTTGTTGGCGTTCTTTTAACACCTATTCTCTGATATAACGAAAAATCAATTACCCTTCTTTCATTGTACAATAAATTTCAAAATTGATAATTTATTTCTAATCTTCTTGCTTCAGGAAAATTGTCGCTACAACCAATAATTTTTAACATTTTTTCATAATTCCTCTAGGTTTTTTTTATGCTTTTTAATTTTCCGGATTTTAACGCTTTCTTTTATTTTTTTTTATCTTTTGTGAATTAACCCTTTTACTCACGCCATTATCTTCGTATTTTAACATAATAAACGCCTTCATTCCTCCAGCAATAAGCATTTCTTGTTCATCATTATGGTAAATACCACAAACAGAACAGCTGATGTTAATATGTAGTTAATAAAACGGCAGTATCTACATAGAGCTTAGATAAAAATGCAGTAATCAACTGCGTCCTTCCTTTTGCATTTTCTTTAAACAAGTATGTAAAAGTTGCTGTAGATATTTGGTTTATACAAATACTATTTTAATAAATAGCTGCAGATAGTGAATTTTTACCAAGTTATATAAAAGAGTCAGTTTTCCTGATTCCAGTGATATAAATAACTCTATATGTGTAATTTTTGTACATATTGCGTTTTTGTTTACGATTCTTCTTCTTCCTATGCCGTCCCCATTAACGGAGGTTGGCGACCACATTTTGTTTACGATGGAAGAATAATATTGCTATTTAAAAAGAATCCCATATTTTTGCATTTGGGTTTCCAAACCTTTGAAGATGAATCTTAAATAATGTCGGTAAGAGACAATAACCTTGTTTAAGACCTTAACTTTAAACATGTTGGGCTGTTGGGCAAGGCTTTCATATAATGTTGCTGTACCGCATTTGATTAGTTTAGTGGAGATGATTCCTGGACCAGGTGCCTTGTTATTTTTAAACGATTTAGTATGACTATGATATTTATATTATGTCTTTCGTTGTTATCTTTAAATTCTGGTTTGTCTATATGTAAAGTCTTTAGAAATACTTGTCCCATTGTAATTGGTGAGAGCATATCTATTTTCTTTTCCTATCGTAGTGATTTTAATACTCTTAAATTTTTTGTGGTTCTACGTCCTACTAGATGGGAATTTATCATATTAAACTTTTGTTGTCAGGTTTTTTTTTGCGATGTATCATTCTTCGAACTCTGACGTGTGTCTCATTGTATATCAGTTTTTATGCGTCATTCATTGTATTCCAAAATTTCTGGTATTTTTCTCTTTTATTTTTTCTGTCTTGTTCTATTTCATCGTCTTAGTAAGAGTCTTCTCTCGTTATGAATTTGAGGTCCCATAACTTCTTTTGCTGCCCCCTCTAGGCATATATTTATATAGTTGTATTGTTCTTTGCTATTATTAAATTGTTTAATTTTCAACTTTTAGTTCAGTCTATTTCTATATCGCACGCTGCCTTGTTCTAGGCTGTTTAAGTTGTATCTCTTTTCTGGCAATTTCTTTACTTCATATTCTTCTTTTAACTTTTAGGGTTTCACTTCTCTACATGTGGTTTTGGTCTTTAATACGTAATGATCACCACCACGATTGGCTCCTCTGTATTCCCTTACTTCTTGCAAAATTATGCTTGTCCTTGACCAGAGGTGTAACCATGATAAGAGGTATTGATTCTAAACACCATTCTGTTCGAACATGTTGCTGGGTGTTGTTCCAATCATTCAATAAGACTTTGTGTATAGAGGTTCAGTCTGGACAAGGTGATAGTATTTTTAATTTGTCTTTCTTTTTGTCAAAAGCTACCACTGCTACCACTTTAACAAAAGTAATGAAAATGTTAGGATGATTCGAAAGAAAAGTACTATGGCGAATCTATAGAGCAATGAATAATAATGGAGTGTAAAAAGTTACTTCATACAGAAGATACAACTTCAAACTTTATGGAATATACCAGGAACCAGATATCGTAAAACATATCAAGATAAGACGTCTAAGGTGGATAGGACATGTAACGCGAATGGAACAAAATGACCAAGCTAGACAAACGTTTAAGAAAAAAGACATAAGAAATATGGGAATACGTGCTTGGCCGAGAAAAGCGATGGACACAGACGACTGGAAATAAATTCTTGAGGAGTCTAGGACCCACGCATGGTTGTAAAGCTATAATGATGATGATGATGATGATGATATCTGTTGATTTGCATAGTGGTCTGTATTAATTACCACTCTAAGAGCTCTATTGGAAGGGGTTTAAAATAGTAAACTTCAGGGATTAGTAAACCTAGAAACAACTGTCTAATGCTTGCTTTTACATAATGTATTTATATTTTTTAGATCTTATAACAGTCAAAAATATTTAAATAATTTGTTTTTTTTTTCAGGACATGGTTATGGCCTAGGAAAACTTTATTAAACCTCACTGCTACTATGTATCCACTTTGTACACTTACTTAACGGTTGCAGTAGGACCATAGCACTCCGACTGCCATAAATACTAGTATGCTAGTTTCTACTGTATTACATTATTTAATTTTTGGCCTTACATTAAAGCAAGAACTTGAGTAATGTAAATTGTACAATGAACTGCTAAAATTATTGCCTGAATATTGTTTATTTTTATTTATTATTATTTATTTTGACGTTTTGGGATATATTTTGAACTCGACCGCTATGCCAAATGATACATGTTTGATGTTGTTCTTATTTTGCGCTTGTAATATTACTGATGTAGATGTCTGTTGTATATAATAAGCTAGTGTGTTTTATTTTATGTAATAAATATACTCCGTATAATACATTTTTCGCCTTTTATTTATAATTCACCTAGTTATAATATAATTCGCATACATTTTCAGCTCAAAAACAAAGATTTAAAAGTCAAAATTGAACTTTAGTTAGATCTTTGCATCGTTATCGTGGATTAAATTAAACCTTTCAGTACTATGGGGACCTACACGTGTACAAATTCTTCTTCTTCTTAACGTGCCCTATCAAGTCCCCTTGACGTTGACGATTAACAAGAAGAAACTGTCTCTGTCTCGAGCTATTCTAAATAGTTGCTCAGCTTTCTTCATTCCTGTCCACTCCCTGATATTCTTCAACCAACCAGCCTGCTTTCTACCAATTCCTCTGCGTCCTTCGATTTTACCCATCATAATAAGTTGAAAAATATTATATCGGTCTCCCCTTACTACCTGTGCAAAATAGACCATCTTTCTACATTTGATGTTATCAAGCAGCTCGCGAGCAGCATTTGCTCTCTCAAGGACTGCCACATTTGTCAGCATAACCGTCCATGGAATTTTTAGTATACGTATGTGCAGCCACATTTCAAAGGCCTCCAGACGATTAATGGTGGATAGTTTTAATGACCATGCTTCGACACCGTATAAGAGGACTGACCAAATGTAGCATTTAACCATGCGCTTTCGAAGTTGAAGTTGCAATTTATCATTACAGAAGAATGACCTTATTTTTAAAAATGTCGTGCGGGCTATCTTGGTTCTACATTTTATCTCTTGATCTGGATCTAGTTGTTCAGTAATATGGCAACCAAGAGATTTAAAACTTGACACTCTTTGAATTATATGACCATCAACATATAATCGTGCATCTTGATGTGCTAAACGGCTAAACACCATGTGTTTTGTTTTTGCACAGTTTATGTTTACGCCAAACTCTCTTCCCACTGTATCAATGGCATTTAAAAGGCATTGTAAACCATTCATGTCATCACTTAAAATAACTGTATCGTCTGCATATCTGATTGTTTTTATCAGAATTCCATTAACTTTCACGCCCCATTCCAAATTATGCAGCGCTTCTTTAAATATTCTATCTGAATATAAATTAAATAATAGTGGGGATAGTATATAACCCTGTCTGACACCTCTTTATATTTTACATATTTCTGTTGATTTTCCGTTTATGCAAGCTGTCGCTGTTTGTCTTAAATTCACTTAACTTAAATCCAACAGTATTACGAAACATTTCGTCATGTAACATTTTTTAAAGAATTTGATTATATAACCTTCAATTTTCTAAAGATAGGTGTCTTTTTACAACGTGGTTGTGTGTTTTGTTGCCATGATACACATTTAGTGTTTTTGTCTGCAAAATACAACTACAAAACCATCCTAAAAGCGTTAGTTGTTGAAAGTAAGTAAATTTTTTATTAAAATCCATTTTTCCATCATTGATTTCGCACAATTCATATAATGGGACATGGAAGTCCCAGTAGTCCTTTTGCTCGGGTCATTAGTGTCACATAAGTTTTTTATATCTGCTCTATAGCTTAAAATATCTCCAAAACTATTAAGTATAAAATCATAGAAAATACTAAGAATTAAACTACGTTGAATTAAGTTTGTAATGGAGATCCATTTAAAAATACTGAGCAAATATTTTATACTGAGGTTTTTTGACATAACCTGTATTAAATTTAAAAATTATTAGCAAAATCAATACTTTTTATAATTTTAAGAATGTTGATAATTATTTAAAAACTGTGAGTACAACAGTCCTTGCTTTTGTATCTCTTGGTCTATTTTGGTCTTTTTTTTTATCTTTTTGGTGAACTTTTTAAATACCCTTTAATAGTGGTTTCTATTCTTGTAATGACGAACTAAAGGGGATTTTTAAATTTAATATAAAATACAGGGTGTTTTATTTTAAAAGTATATCTTTGATGCGGTAAAGGGTTATGGATAACCCTGTTTATTCTTACTTCAAAATATAAAGCTGTTAGTTAATTCCTATTTTTGTAAGTAACTTTGTCTGGTATCTCCTTTAACACTTAAGTACAATCAGTACATCAGTATATTTTCAAATATCAATAATACAAACGTATTTACCAAATTTTAATTTCTTTTAATTCTAAATAGATTTCGATCTGTACCGAAATTATCCGGCAATAAAAGTTAGGCGCAATCTGTCAGCCGATAGATCAGTATAAAAGTTACTATTATTAGACGTGGGATGGATAATAATTATGAAAAAAGAGTTACGAACTGGTATGAAGAATGTGATAGTCCTCCTCCTCTATCCTTTATCCTTCGTAAGGATGTGGTGATGTTAGGTAGGTGAAGGATGGTATTTGACGAATGGTTGCTATCCATTCTTCTCTCTCCTGGGCGCAGTGTGCTGCCTTAGACAGAGAGTAACCAGTGGCGCACTTTATTTAGTCTGACCATCGGAGTGGCAGTCTTCGTCAGGTTCTTTTACCATCTACCTTGCCTTCAACCATCAACCCTCCATGCCTTCCATTCGTCTGGTAATGTGTCCAAAGTATATCAAAATATTTTGGTTGGTGACTGTGGTAAGCCTAGATGACTCGACTGATGTCGAGTTCTGTCAATATTGAGACATTTGTGCGATGTGCTGTCCAGGGTATGCGCATCATTCTACGATGTACTCACATTTCAAAGGCCATTATACGTTGTGAGTCAGACTCTTTAATAGTTCTAGTTTTGTAACATTTTTTATAATTAAAATATTAAACAATTTTTAATCTTTTTACAATTGTTGCTTAGACGCCAATGGTTGTATTCGTAAATAGCTTGTTAAATTTTATTGGAACGTACCGACTTCTTAAATTACGGAAGAATCTACTTGGTTAATTCTTGGGTAATACTTTCCGGTAGTAGGAGGGTTCTTTTTAAAAAATTCGGTAAATATCGTGGAAAGCACGTTATAGTGTTTATAACGGAAATACATACCTGGCCTGTCATTTTAAGTGGGGAATATTCCATCTTGTTTTTGGGAAACTTGGTAAATTTTGGGAAGAAAAAATCACTTCTGGCAGGGCAGTCTTCTAGTAAAGACGTTTGCTTATATTACTGTCTCTGTGTTATTTTATCGTTCTTTGTGACTTTTTCTTTAAGTGTGTATACACTTAAATATTTGAGTTTCTTAATCTAATACCATATTGAAATAAATATCGTTATAGAGTACCTTTAATTTTAATTAACTTCAGTGCTTGATACAAAGTATTATAGTAAAGTTCAGTGAAGTAGTGCAGCAGTCATCAAGATTCATCGTAAGTTATCATAATCATATTATCTTCAACTATCTGGGCAAATCTACGTCGACCATTTCTTCTCCTGTAGTTAAGGGCAACTACTAGTTTGGCATTCAATTTAAAGAACATTTAATATTTTCTTACGAATTTTCTATCAGCTATTAAGAACTTCTAATAAATAATTATTACGAACATTTTATTCTCAGTAAGAACAGTCAATCATCAAATAACAGTGCGAACAGATAATTAACTTAAAACCAAATGCGGGTTGGTTAAATTTTATAATACTTACAGCATTCTTGTAACCCTTTTTGTATTCTTGTGAATTTAAATTTAATCAATTTTGCTATTTCCTATAATTGTTATACATTTGTAATACATATTTTTGAAGCTGTTCGGCCAATAACTGATTGATTGGTGGTTAATCACTAGAAGTTTGATAATCCGTCCTGGCCAATAACTGACAAATTACTGGCTAATCACTGGAGGAGCTATGCCAATAACTAATTTTTGACAGATAGGTATTATAAAAGATTTTTTGAAACTTAAGTTTAATTCTAGACTAAAAATGTTTGGTTTTGTATAAACTACAACTGATTTTTTATTAGGAGGAACGTAATATTCCTACTGATAAACATTTATTACATAATTCTATGATTTAATCCCTTAATGGAAATGTGACCGACCTGAAATCACTGGGTAGTCTACCCTGGTCTAGTAACTACTGAAATACCTCAAAATATTCGTTCTAACTTCAAATAACGACTTTATAATTGTATGGACATTGTGGTGGGTGTTCTTATGAAACTTTAACTAAATAATGATTCATTATAAAACTCACATTTAATAATGTTTCCTATTAATGTCGCATATTTCGTTTTAGTGTAGGTTTTACGTGACATAATTGTTTTTAAAATCTATAAAAACTTTTTTAAACTGACTATTCAATAGTTTCCTGTTTTGTCATGCAATGGGTTCAAACTTGATTGGCTAAAGATTGAAAAGAAGTAAAGGTTTAGTATTTTATTTAGTACCTAATACAAACCGTTTCGGCCTATTAAGTTTTAAAAAAATATATATAGATATATAATGCTGTATATAGATACACGCAACTATCTTGGTTTAGTATACGAAAAAATTAGAGAAAGTGAAAACCACATCTCGTCATCTGATTACTGCTTTGCATGGAATGATAATATCGGCAAATGTATAACATTACATATTCAAACACTTCCTAAAGAGGCAGATAATAAAACCATAGTTGACTGTATTTACATATGTTAAACGGCTGTATATAATGTCGTTTAAAATACATCCGTCAACTTTATCAATAACACCTTTCAACTATGAATGCTAATACGCATAACTGAGCAACTACTGAAGGTGTATGTTTTTCATGTAAAAAAGCATGTATAACTACATTTTTTGTATATTCTAACATTTCTTTAGTTCGATTTTCTACATATTTATTTTTTGGCTATATCCTTTTTTAACATATTCCTTAGCGTATACTGCCCTCCTTAGCCAAAAGGGCGTATTTCAAAAAACCTAAATTTTCACAATTCACACTTTTGTTATATTTTTAGACAATTTAGATATTTAGATTATTGAACTTTTACCTTAACTTAACTAACTAAACAGTAATAACATAACTTACCAGTAGATGAAAGGAAGAAACGGAAGCTCAATGTAATGGTGGAAAAACATTCAAAATCAAGTTGTAATCCTGAATGCCTTCACAATCATCATCATCATCACGTAGAGCTACAACCCTGGGT